TTTATCCACCTCTCTGCCAATGAGACTTTACACATTTTTTTTCTCTCCCTTGTGGATTCATGAACATTATGGATGTTCCCTCCCATCCTTCATCTTGCTGGGCTAAATGCACACATACCTTTAATCTTTGCTTACAGAATGGCCTTTCCACAGAAGAGAGATGTTTTTGCTGATACTTTTTATGACACCTTTATTCAAAATTTTTTTCCTGTGCTAGAGACTCTACTGTTTGACAGAAGCTTCTTCCATGTTTTTAAAATTTATTTATAAAAATAGGAAAGACGAGTATCTGTTTGCTATAGAGCATTGTTTTACTGCCTTCCTGGTAAGTTTTTCCATCACTTAAGATGAGGATAAGAATCTCTTCAATCATATTCCACACAGTGTGTTTTGTGTGTAACCTGCTGTGTGCCTTACACCTTCCTGCACACAGCTGGTGAGAAACACCACAGCTTTTATTAAAAGCCACGAGAACATGTCCAAACAATGCAAATGAACTAGAAGATCTTCCATGTGTAAGTCCTTTAATAAAGCCCCCAAGGTAGAGGAAACTGGAAATTTATATCTATATTACAGCTTTTCCTTCCAATCTAGTGGATACTTGACCTCCTAAACTGGACCTGATAAATCTAAATCTAGATGCCTCGTTTTTTTTAGGGGAATGAAAAACAAACCAACACAATGGCTTTTGTTTTCCATCTTACACACACAGAGGAGAGCAAATTTCTATGACTAGCAGAAATCCTTGATGCTTTGTATACTAGCAGCCCAAGGACAAGGAGACCACTAATGGTGGTTTTTTTTCTGTATTTGAGTATGCCAACAGCTGTTTTCAGCTACAGGATATTTCTACTATCAAAGAGAGGAGTAAATCAAATTGGGCACTCATATTTATAACACACTTTTCCTGTGGGGTTCTGTGCGTACTTCCTTTGAAGTATTTTCCACACTTCTGATAGATTTTTCAGTATATTTTGATATGACAGGAGAGCTGACAGAGTATTGAGAGTTTCAGGTATAAAACCTGACCAAATTCCCACAGAAGTCTGCAGGAGTCTTTCTGTTGCCTTCTGTGGGGTCTAAATCTGTTCCTTAATAAACTTCCCTGGTAAAACCTGGGATTTGCATACTCTTTGGTTGTGAGTACATTTGGTTCTTTTTCCTTTCATTTCTCTCTCATATTTTGTCAGCTAGACTTCCTATCAGCCACCTCCACAATTTTTCCTCTTTTATGATGTGAAAGAGCTCCTGTGTTTGAAACCTAGATCTCTCAGGTTCATAACAAAGGTCAACCAACTCCAGTTTCGAAGCAGAAGCACACACCTGATGGTGCTTTCAAGAAGAAAATGGATTAAAGCTGCTGCAGAGGTGAGGACATGCAGAACTAGCAAACTAAACAGATTAATTCTAAATTACTGAAGTTATGCACATGATCCAAACCAGTTTAATAGGCAAACCAAAGAAACATGTCAGAAACTTCTTAAATACAGCACGGAGGACCCCTTGGTCAGGACTCCACTAAAAGTAGTTTTCCAGAGAAGGTTGAGTCTGAAGGGCAAGAACCTGAAGAAATTTCCCTTCTTGGATGTGTTCCTTGGTTGTCTCTGCTCCTGTCTCAGCTATGCCCTGCCTGCCCAGGTCGTCTTGACTGGGGGGTAGCAGCCCTTGCTGTGGGGCTGCTGAGCTCTGGGAGGGCTCCTAAGTGGCCATCCCTGCAAATAATTGACCTGACAATGATTTGGTAGAAACTTTCCAACTTCATATCTGAGGGGAAAATGAAAGAAAAATTACTTTTTTTAGATTTTAATTGCAATGAGTCTGATGCACTTGTGTGTATATGTATATAGGCATGTATTTTTGAAGACAGATATCCTTTTGGTTTTTCTTTCTTTCTTTTCTTTCTTTCTTCCTTTCTTTATTTCTCGCTTTCTTTCTTTCTCTATTTCTCTCTTTATTTCTTTCTCTCTTTCTTTTTCTATTTCTCTCTTTATTTCTCTATTTCTTTCTTTCTCTCTCTCTTTTTCTATTTCTTTCTCTCTTTCTTACTCTATTTCTTCTATTTCTTTCTCTCTTTCTCTCTTCTTTTCCTCTTTCTTTCCCTGTGACCAGTCTTCAAAGTTAGACCAGGCTCTATCAATATTTCCCACAAGGCTTATTTTCTCAGATTACAGGTAATTTTTGTTGTAGTAAATAATGAAATTCACAAGGCAGCTGTCCCTGCCACAGTACAAAGAGCAAACTGGAAGAGGCCAGGCTTAGGTTGGATATAAGGATAAACTTCTTTACTGTGAGAGTGATCAGGCACTGGAACAGGTTGGCCATCGAAGATATGGATTCTTGGAAGTGTTTAAGGCCAGGCTGGATGGGGCTTTGGGCAACCTGGTCTAATGGACAGTGTCCCAGCCCATGGCAGGGAGTTGGAACTAGATATTCTTTGAGGTTCCTTCCAACTCAAACCATTCAATGAGTCTATGAAATCTTTTCATTTCCAGCGTGTCTTTATCCAAACCCACTTTACAGAAAATCAAATAAGTGGAAAGGGTATGGGTAATAAAACAGACTCTTAACTGGCAAGCAGCCAAACAGGACCGCAGTGTTCTCCTTTTTCCCTTCTACAAACTGCTCATTACCATTGCAAGTGGGTATGCTTATGTACCTACATGAATGCCTAAGATACAGAGGGCTATGTGGGCTTTGACAAAAAAATATCAATTGCTCAGAGGAACCTGGGCAGTGAAGCTTGTGTCTGCCTCTTCATCCAAGACATTGATGAATAAGTTAAACAATACTAGGCCCAGTACTGAATCTTGGGGTACACCACTAGCGACAGGGCTCCACTGTGCCACTGTTAGAGACAGAAGGAGTTTCTGAAGTTTAATTAGGCACTGTGGAGAGTGTATGCATGAGAGAAATATTTTGATTTGTTTTAAAGCTGTGACCTGGTGATTTCAGTTCTTGTTCTGTGAGAAATACTTCATAATCAGTTGCTTTTCACCATTTCATTCACAGAAATATGCATAGTTATTACCTCCTCTTCCTCTGTATAAATCCTTTCAAACAGAAGAGTCGTTTGTATTGTAGAGTTTTTTTGTTTGGTTCGTTGAGGGTTTTTTGCCTGTCATCGTCTCTGACTGCTCTAGGGAACCCTTTCACTGTAGTAAATCCACAGAATGACATCCTCCCCCAAAAAAGAGCATTATCCACCCTTTGTGAAATGTGAACACCACTTCCACTATACCTGGTTATAGCTAGGAGGATGCAAATTACAGATCTTTGAAGATGTGGGTGCTACTGGAGGCACACAGGGACATTATTTCTAGCTTTTCCCTTCAACTGCTTTTTTCCTAATGTTCTGTTTTGTTTTGACCCCTCCTGTCTGTCAAGCTGATGTTTTCATCACGCTGACCACAGTGATTCTTTCCTCTACCTTTGGACTTGCAATTGTTTATTTAGAGTTCACAAGTATTTAAGCGAAGTTATTTTTCTTGGTATGTCACATTTATTAACTAAGGATTTTTCTAAACATTTTTTTTGCTCACCAATGAAGTCTTCTTTTAATTCTTCCCAATCAGATTTAGTTTTTATTATCACTGCTAATTTTATAACACCAGCAAACATTTGTCAATTCACTAAGTGGCATGGTTTTGAGGTGTCAGGGAAGGGAACAGACCAGCTCAGGGTTTGATGCCTGGCTAGCTCAGTCAGTAGAGCATGAGACTCTTAATCTCAGGGTTGTGGGTTCGAGTCCCACGTTGGGCACCATTTGGCACGGTTTTGAGGTGTTGGGGAAGGGAGCAGACCAGCTCAGGGTTCGCAGCTCTGCTGTAGATACTGACAGATACTGCAGGCGAGCACTGCCCCACACACACCTACGCAACCCAAAATAATAGGAGGCTAGACACAGGTGTGAGGCAAGCATCAGCCAGGGCTGATCTGAGTTTATTGAGGGAAAATAGAGGGTTTTTAGGGGTCTGGGTTGGAAGGGTCTGGAACCTGAGTGGAGAAAGAGGAAGAGCATGCAAATCCTCTTACAGTGATTGATTAACAGGGAATGAATAAACATAAGGGGGTGTAACCAGGCAGTAACTGAGGAGCGGCAGATGGCTAAAACCTGCCAAACCACTTGATTGGTTGGTACCACGCTGTACTCCAACCAGTAGGGGAATTGTGGTTATGCCTGGCAAGGCAGAAAGTCCATGAGGGAAAAGAAACTAAAATGGAGGTTTAACCTACATGTAGGTTTTACCCCAAACATCATTTATTCAGTAACAGTCCCAAGTGGTGGTTCTTCAATACCAATCTCTTCAAGGCTGCATCCGTCCACAAATCTGGCTTTCCATTCAGAAAAAGATGTTTCATTCTCTCCGTCTGGTGTTTCCTCTGGTGCCTCTCGATCCCCAACAACTAAGTGCCCATGTTTTCAGATCTCTCAGGATGATATGAAAAGCACTAATCTTACTGCCTATCACTGTAGCATCCCACCTATGAACTCGACCACTATGAGGCTGACTGTTATTCTTATCCTTCTTTCTCTAAATTCTAATCAGTTATTAATAAATGTCACATTAGCTTCTTAGGAATTATTTTGAGGAACCTTGACAAAACCTCTTTAAGAATACCAAGGTGTCTCTTGGCAAGATTATATCTCTCTCACAGCCACTGATTCCTCCAAAAATGTTTGACAGGTTTGTGCAGCACAAGTTCCCTTCACAAAGCCATAAAGGCTTTTCTGTCATGGAGAACAATTTTCTCATGCTTTGTCTAACTCCCTCCTTTGTCACAGGGTTTACTGATTTGCCCAGGACAGCTGTCAGGCATAGGGACTAGAAACAAGTATAGCGGTAGTAGTATTTTTCAGCTATAGATTTTAAATCATTTCTGAAGCTGGACAGCACTTATCAGAGATGAGGAAAAGTGGAGGATAAAAAAAACTTACAAGGTTATTTGAAGCTTGTAAGTTCAGAGAGCAGAAAGTAACAGGTGGAGGTGGAAGCAAGTCCTCTGTCTCGATCCTGTGCTTTGTTGGATTATGGGCTGAAGTGGAACGTTCCCAGCCCTTCAGAGCTGCTACTGGGGTCTCTGGTAGTACTCCTAGTGAAAAGACAAAAGTGTTCTGCTCTGGCACCTGCTCTGGGAGCAAGTGCCTACTGCTCTTTTGTTTTTATTGCAGACATTCACAGAATCACAGAACAACTGAGATAAGAAGGGACCTCAAGAGATCGCCTGATCCATCCACACCTAGTCAAGAAGGGTCACCTGGTTGCCCAGGAAGCTTTTGAATATCTCCAAGGATGATGACTCACTGCATTTTCAGGCAAGCCACATGTCTGCCTGGTAGAACAATATGCAAGAGTTTCCCCAACATAAAGATTGGAGTTTTGCTCAGGCATGGAATAAATTTGTGACGTGCTGCTAGTTCCTGTTGTTTTCACTATTAACTTCAAGAAAAAACAAGCTTAATCACTTCATACTTTTGCCCTGAATGTTTCTTCCCACTACCAGGGGTATCAGTGTTTCACTCATTTATCATCATAACTAATACATGAGTGATAAAGTGATACACAAAGACGACATAAAAGTTTTATATAAATTTTAGGACAGCATGTTACAAAAAGTAGAAAACTGCAAATAGACCTTACCAAATGAATCCTGCAAATCCCCTACTACAATGATATTATATATTCAGGAAATGTCTATGTTCACAGTAAAATTGGAAATGTTATGCAATTTTAGAGTGTTTTACTGATAATTCTCATGCCCCATTTGTTGTCTGGCTTCCTTGCCATGGGTTCAAATGTACAAAGTCCAAGAAGGGGAGAAGAAGTTGTTTTTAGAATTAGTTTCTATAAAACAAGGAAAATTGGTTTTCCATAGACTTCAGTGATTTGGGACCTGGAAAATCTAGAAGCGATATACTGCATATATAATTAGAAATACAGGAACTTTCATTTATTTCTACTACCTCTATGCTAACCAGAAGAATAAATGCTATGGAAATTTCAGATGGCAGTTGAGAGAGGACATAATACCTTCTGCCCTAAAATCAAGACTGTGAATTTTCCAAGACTACTGAAGGTCTTTCATATAAAAGGTCCTTCCTACCTTGTTTAGGTATCTCTTCTGACTTCAAATTTTTTAAACTATAATCATTAAGTCGCCTCTTTATTTTCCAGTTTCTCCTTTTTTTTTCTTCTTTTTTTTCTTCTTTTTTTTTTTCTTTCCTCTGCTATTGGTACAAGGAAAGAGGAACAGCTTTCATCACTATTTTCTTGTTTTGATTTTCACCAAAAAAAGCCCTTTAATGAGGAAGAAATCTTTAATGAAAAGAATCTTTAATGATGAAGGAAGGAAGGAAGGAAGGAAGGAAGGAAGGAAGGAAGGAAGGAAGGAAGGAAGGAAGGAAGGAAGGAAGGAATGGAGAGAGAAAGAGAAAGAAAGAGAGAAAGAGAGAGAGAAAGAGAAAGAAAGAAAGGGAGAATGAACATGTAACCTCTTGGGACCCTTCCCCTGTCCTATTAAATGACAAGGGTTTCTCCTAGAAAGGAAGCCCTTCAAACAGAACAATCTGAAACTACTTATAAATACAATAATAAATGATAGCCCTAGGTTTAAAAAGTTATCATACAAATTTAAGCACTCATTTTCCCCACCGCTTAATGTCTTCCAACGTGATGAACTCGTCCACAGTTCCTTTTCTCTCACGTATCCAGCTGATAATTTGTTTTACTGTTCCACTGTTTCTAGAGACTATTAAGGAAATCAAAGCAAAAGCTTTGCAGTACATCAAACCCTTAAACTGCAGCAGTCACAGTGGAAGGGACAGGCATGAGAATCAATATGCTTTTCACTTATGTTAGCATTTTAACGTACTGTGAAAATTAGCTTGTTCAGAGATTTTATGTTGCCATTTACATCAGTATGTTGCAACTCCAGAATGAAAACCAAGAATAGACCAAGTTCTAAATTGCAGAGCATGGCACCATTAAACATTTATCTACTGCTGCAACTACATTACACCTTTCCATTATGCAAAAGGTGGGCTGAGTCACAATAAAATTGAATGACGTCTGACTATTCTGGTTATGATGTCTAATACTGCCCGCTTGCCTCAGCAGTGGACTTAGAGAAATCTTAATTTATTTAATGAAACCTTGGAAAAGCCTTACTTGAGATCAAATTTCTTTCCTCCAAAAGCCCTAAAAGCCATATATTTATGGAACATTCCACTAAAGGAATTTGTACATTATGTTAAAAAGCAGTCTTAGTTGCTTTGGTTCTTCATCATATCACTCTTGTGCCTGTGAAGATTTACAAATGTGTATTAAAATGAGAAAGCTAAAACATGCTCTACTGTCTCTCCTGGTTAGAGAAATCTTCTGATTCCCATTTCAGTCAAGAATATGTAATCTGATCTCTTCAAGGGAAACCCAGAAGCCACTCAGCCATCCATTAGCAGACATGGTCCATAACCCTGTGTCACATGCCTTGTCTCAGAAACACTTTGCCAGATGATTTTGTGAACTCTGTTCTCTGAACTGCAAGGAATAATTGACAGTTCATCAAGATGTGAAAGAAATATGACATAAAAGACTAACTCTATCACAAGTAATGTATCAGTATCCAGTGGCCATTAAAATATTTTAAAATGACATTTACACTGAAAATGAATGGCTGAAAGTACCATATTTGACCCCCCAGTCTCATTTTCTTGAGGGATGTAGGCATGTATATACCTCAGTCTCTTTGGAGTCAGAAAGCAAGCCTCAGCTTCAAACTGGAAAGGAGAAACATGGCAATGTCTTGGAATATTTTAGCTAATGTTTCCAAGAGTCTTTCAGAACTCTTACAAATAGAAAACTAACCTCCCTGTTGCACTAATGGAAGCACACAGGTAGTCATCTGGGGCAGAAGATATGGGGCACATGGAAGAAATCAGGCTTTTGCAGGGAGATTTACAACGCTGTGGTCTTGTTTGTTCTTCTTCTATTCAAGACCACTCTGCTGTCAGTCAGGGACACAAGGAATGTCCTAACAACAGGCATCAGGAATATACGTAGTCCCCAGCTGTGCTGTGGAAAGGTTATCTATTGATCATTGTCAACTGATGTTAAGAGAATGGAGAAAATGAAGTCTAAAAGGAACATTTTGTTTTAACAACTCTTTTATGAGGTAGTGTTTGCTGTTGCAATAAGGTGAACATTAAAAGCACTAACAAAATTAAATTCTCAGATCCTGAAAGGTTTTTCTGAGTTATTCTGTGTCAGTAAGCAGATGACTTCTTTTATTCTCAGTCACTTGGGCAGTATGTTTTTACAGGCACAAGAAATGTGTGGATACAAGCTAGGGGAAATAGATTAACTATTCCTAGTTCTGGTACTTAAAACTTTGTTTATTTAGTTTGGATGCTGTGGTATGTAATTACTTGCTTTTAGGATGAGACACAGTGTCCAATACGAAAGCACAAGAGAAAAGTTAAAGATGCTTCTGTTAGTTAAACAGTTTAAAAATGCACTTGAGGATATATTAAAGAAGTCAGAATACTCCAGTATTTGCCAAACCTTTTTTTTTTTTTGCCTTGGTTTATCTTTTGTAAATGCAGCAAAAGCACATTATGATCACACATTAACTGTTACCTGTGCAAGGTTTCAGTAAAATAATTTGCTTGTACCAAGTGTTTCCTTGTCTGCAAATATTGGACTAATGAGCTGCTTTCATTATAGTGCAGTGAAATCACTGCGTGGATTAATCCTGGACTTGCT